AGAAGATCATGGGTGCGTGGTTGAATTATTATCAGGAAAGATGATCTGAGCTATGTTTCCACATAAACTTAATCAGCCATGTCATCATTCTCACTCCATTTACGTAAATTGGAGATTTCATTATCGAACAGTTGGTGGTTAATGTGAACTTAATGGCAGTTAATGTGATTGTTGAGGTCATAATAGATCTAATTAACAACATGTCTAACAATGACAGGCCTGTGCAGACGAGCTGCTTCTGCTTGACTATTGTCATGAGGTTCAAGTGTCTGTCTGTGCTGAAATGTTGGGAACCTCTTCTCCCTTGCGTACCCCACTGACCTAGATTTCAATTGTTTTCGGCCCGAGACAATGGGGGGGGGAATGGTTTCATAACTGAACACAATACCTGGGAGTTTTTCAACACGATTGTTGTTAATGTCGCATTGTAGTGTGAGTTTGTGCTGTGCTGTGCATTGTGCGTTTTCTCAATGTAACCTGCTCAAGCAGCCAACCACAGAAAAGCCTGTGAACCCCTCAGTAAATCATTTGTGAACTGTTCAGCAGATGATGTGCATCCATGTGAATTTCTGCAGAGAAGCTAGTATATTCCTTGCTGCTTCTAACAGACCTCTCATATTTCCTCAATAAAACATTACTCTCCTGAGGAGTGTGGTGCTTTTAATATCGATTGCAGAGAAATATATTTTAGTCAGTGCTTCACTGAAGGCCTGAGACAGATGTAGACCACTGAATAACCTTAAATGCCAGCAGGTCCTAAAACTATACCAGCTACACTGATCTGTCCTGAAACCTGGGGAAGCTAACAATCTTAAAGTAGTCATTTATTCACTAGACCACAATCTGATCTTAATTTTGTTTGTTATGTGATAATAATAAAAAGCAGTTTTAAAAATACTGTTTAAATCCTGTCTTTATTGCGTCACAGAAAAGTGAAATTTCCATCCACTGTCTGGTTGAGTGCTGCAGTTTTAATTTAATTTAATTAATTTAATTAAAGCCCAGAGCTGCTAGTCAAATGCTCTTGATTCACTGTTCATCAGCTTAGGTGACCACCTCTATAAAAGCAGAGGCAGTTTGCTGGTCTAAAATATTCAAGTGTGTGCTAACACAACACTGAGTAGGAAATACTTCATTATTGATCTTAAATAGGAAGGGTTATAAGGCCATTTCCAAGCCATCCGAAGGCCATAATTCTATAGTGAGAAATAGTATTCACAAATGGAAAACATTCAAGAGAGTCGCCAGTTTTTCCAGGAGTGGACATCTCAGCATATTCACCCATACAGTGTTCAGAGAAACTGCAAAACATGAGCCGTATCTCAGACTCTACATGCCTCAGTTAGCACGTTAAATGTTAAAGTTCATGACAGCAGTTAGAAAAAGACTGAACAAGCTTGTTTGGAAGGATTGTCAGCAGAAAGCCTCCTAAAGAGAAAAAAAAATGTCTTATGGATAGATGAGATCAAAGTGAAGATGTTTGGTCATGGTGCACAGTGCCACATTTGGAAAAGAAATCAAATACTGCGTACCAGCACAAATCACATCAGCTGTCAAGCACAGTAGTGGAGGGATGTTGATTTGGGCTTATTTTGCAGCCACAGCACTTTACAGTGTTAAACTAAAAGATTCTAGAGTCAAATGTGAGGCGTTCTGTCTGAGAGCTAAAGGTTGGCCCAAATTAAAATACAAAGGACAATGATCCCATGCACAGCAGCAAATCAGGCCTCAGCCTGATTGAAATACTGGAGATCTGTACATAGGTGAATGTCTGTAAAGCTCAATGAAAAGAAGCAACACTGAAAGGCACAGTGGGAAAAATTTCTACACAACCATGTGAGAGACTGATAGATACACAGTGAATGATTGCTTCAAGTTGCTCATGAAGCTGGGGTGTGCTTAGTTTCTCACATGACTACACAGAGTCCTGCAAAGCTTCTTTCTTTCTTTCTTCTTTCACACTCATAGATCCCAATAACAACAAGCAGAATGACAAAACCTTTGCCTTAAACTGAAGATCCTGAAATGTGTCAAAGGAACCGTTGGAGAACAGAACATCACAGATGTAGAAGTTGGCAGGGGGAAAAAAGAGAGCGCTCCATGTTTGGTAGATAGATGAAGGAAGATTCATCAAAAGGCAAATTAATCAAAGGACATCAACAGCAAATGGGGAAGGGATGAAAGAGTGCCGCCCGTTTGTTCAGTCCCGCTCTGCTCCTCCCGAACCTGCTCTCTGATCTCATCATGCCGCACGAGTGCATACAGGGGGCTGGAGCACAATGAGTACCACAAAACATATGCACATTAACAAATGTCTAAGCAAAGCTTGAAAAAGAAGAAGTGCAATTAGCGCAGTTTGTTTAACTCAGAGTGGTTTTTAAAGTCTCGTGTTTTCATATTTGACTGTTTGCGGTTTTCCAGTGTTTGAACTTACGTAAGCAGAAGCTTTGAAACATAAACACACAGTCACACACTAACACATAGTATATAATGCTGTCAGTGTGAACTGTCAGGGCTGGGTTGTGGCAGCAGTGGACGGCCCTCTTTGATAATGCTCTGCTAGATTGGGCAGCCGCTCTTTTTATCGTTCAGCCGGTTAGTTGGCTCAGAGTTGACTCCAATTTGTACTCCTCCTTTGGGTTTGTCAGCAGAGACCACTTTGTCCGTCCATCTAGACTGTGGCTCCATGTTGTCAGAACATGTTGAATTTTGTTTTTATTCAATATAATCACTCTTAAAAACTACTAAAGTTGGTTGTTATACCCCAGGAAGCTAAGGTAATGGGGGGAAAGCAACACAACTTGTTCAGTTTGAAAAAGGAGACATGAGGGTAAATTAGCCAATTAAATACATTTTTCTTACTAAGTAATCAAACAAAAGCTGCTATCACGATCAAAAGAAGAAAAGCCCAACAAAACCTAGAAGCTGATCAAAAGAGTAAGTCAAAACAGTTGAAAATTGCCAAAACACCCTCCTTGCCAAAACACACACACAGCTCACAAGCTGCAACACAAAGGCGCTCTAGTACTGGAGCTCGCCTCTCTGTGGCCTTAAGTACTCTGGCCTAATGGCTGGGTAGTCAGCTGTATAGTCACTGGTGGCACCTAAGGCTGGAAAAGCCTCATTCACAACCAGAAGTTAAAGCAGGCAACTCAGGTGGTACATGTGCAGTAGCTGGAGTTGGGTGAGAAATTAGCTCAATCAGTGGACCTTAACAGATTTGAGCTAAATGGTTAATAAATAAATAAATGACAAAAAGAAAACACTGACCACGAAAATAAATACATATCTGATTTAAAATGATCGGTAATGGTCAAAAGAAGTTATAGAAACAGCTGAAACAGCCCACTTAAAGTGTGGCAATCAGTTGAAATTGTTGATGGGATGGAAACTGCTACAAGTGCTTAAACTAGCTTAACAGCTAGCTGTTAAATTGATTAGCGTAGTAACAACAATTAGTAGACAAATGGTTTAACTCAAGCCAGTAGTTATGGATAAATGGTTGAAGCAGTTTTCTAACCACAACTGATAAATGGTAAGCTGATTATTTATTTCTAAACATAAAGTGTAAGTTAAAAGTAGAACAGATCCAGCTTAAAAATAGATTAAATTAGTGAGCATGTTAGCTCCACTACAGGGATTTGGGACTATGCCTACATCAGATGAAACAGTATAGCTGTTTTTTCCAGCTTTTAACAGCTGGAATAGCCTTAAAATGATTGTTCTCATCTTTAGATATCACTTAGCGACACTTAGCATTTATTGTTTATGCTCCTGAGTCTACACTGTACAACTGCAACTAATGACGTCACTTAACCACTGCCTTTATGCTGCATTAACCTTGTTTTTTTTAATAGGGGGCATAGTCCTGTTGATTTATTCATCTAATATTTTTACATAACAGTTTTATACTGAAGAGGATTAGGGGAAAAAAAGTGGGCACGTCTTCTTTTTTCTTTTCTTTTCCTGAATTCTGAGATTAAAGTCAGAATTCTGACTTTTTTCTCAGATTTTTTTCCAGTGGCCCTAATCCTCTTCCGTAGTTTTATCCCTTACATTTCACAAAATCTTATTGCTTGCCCTGTGTGGCATTTTCTCAAAAACCTATAAATATTCATTTTAAAAAAGTTTATAATGTAACATGTCTATGTAGTAGGAAATTGTTCTGACTTTTAACGTGCCCCTATTGTTTTGGCGGGTGAGAATATCACCATAATCTACAACATAATTCAAGTTGTGGTCTTAATCAAGGATTTCTCTTTTTCTTTAAAAAATACATCATGTTCCTGAGCAGTCTTTTACTGTATCTTTATGTAACAAAAGCAAAGTTCAGCAGAGAAAGACAAAAGTGATGTGAACTGACAATATTTTAATGGGGGGGATAAAAGACTGTAAGTGATCAATGGAGGCGGCATCCAAGTGATGCCCGGAGGACGGCTTTGATGTGGCCATCCTCAGAGGGACGCCTGGGACAATGCCCTCTTTGAGGGGCATGGGCAATGGCAGACACTTCCCTCTCCCTCGCTCCTGCTCTCTCACACTCAGCCTTCCTCTGTTTCCTGCTTCCTCCTGCAATACTATGACTCTTTGGTTTAGATGCTTATACTCTGCATCATTTACTATCCTTAACTGTATAACTTTCTCCCTCTTTCTATCGCATTAATTCAGACAACACCCCCTTCCTCAAAGCCCAGCCAATCGCTCTTCTTCCCCCCCTCCTCTGTATCTCTCTCGCTCCCTCACTCGGTCTTCTTTCATAGAACCAAGCCTCTTTGTAATGTCCAGCCTTGGCAAGTTGCGCCCGATTTGCTGTCACAGTCTTAATGAATTCATCTGTTTGTGTATTGGCCATGGGAGCATTTCTCCCTCCCTCTCCCTCTCTTTCCTATCCTCTACCCCCTCCCTCTTGCTTGTGGTCCCCTGAGGGCTCTATATATACCAGGGACTACTCCAGGCATCTATTGTTCCTCTAAGTAAACTTACAGACAGATGCCCTGCACCACAGTTTGGGAAAGAGCCCAGAGAGTCAGGAGGAGGGAGACAGTTAGTGAATGCATAGAGCTGCCAGACAACAAGGACCTGGAAACACTGCAGACTCATCTCCAGCTCATCTGCATCCTCTTCAGTCGTTCTGTGTGTCTCTTGCCTGCCTGCTTCTTGCCACTGTGGAGTGGAGGTCTGATGCTCTGACAGCATGCCGCTGCTGGTGTCACTGCTGCTTATGGGGCTGGACTGCTTGCTGGGAGCCCCAACAGAAAGAGAGGTCTACAGGATGCCCCAGAGTGCTCTTAAAGGTAAAACTGACCCATCATTTCTCATTGATGGCAGTTTGTGTTGAGTGGTCACAGCTGTAGCTATCTGTGACTATATTTAGGAGAGCTTATGTCAGATGTCTTCAGTAGCAAATGTGTCTCTTGCAGAAAACAAATAGTAATGCTTAAAGCATTAATACCTCTCAGTGAGTCAAACACAAGAAGAAACATCTGGGGATATTGCTAGTCTGAGTGAGATTCACCTTCAGTTTGGCACATGTACACATCTAATAAAAAAATCTAAAGTTTTGCTTTCATGGATTTTTAACTTCAATGCTTGAAAACAACACATTGTAAAGAGCACAAATGTAAATAATGAGTACTGACCAATTTCAGCACTACTCTTCAGGACCTGTTTGAAGCAGCAAACAGTTGTTTAAATTAATTTTATTAGTGCTGTGTGACCTTTAAATCCTACAGTAGAGCACAGTGTTGAGGGGCCTCTGGCCTTCTCTGGTTGAGGTGCTGAGTACAGCAGAGCCTTCATGCAAGTGACTGGTGATGGCAGTGTGATTGGAACAAGGGACTATGGGTCCCAACGGCCCCGGGGCTGCCAGCCTGTGCCCTTAGGGCCCGTCCCTGCCCACCAGCCTCTGCCCGCTCAGCCTTGGCCTTCTAATTAAATCTTCAATCAGTATTGTTGTTGTTACTGGCGTATCCTGTGATGTTTTGCGGCACAGAGGGGGGCAGCAGGGTCGGCGGCCCGATTGAAGTGTGTCTGTAGAAGACTCACCAGGGCGCTGAGCGTGAGCTAGCTTCCCCAAAATGCTGCCAATGAGCTCAAAGAGCAGCATGAGAAAAAAGGGGGCTACTCACACACATACCAGAAAGCTGCACCAATTCATGTTAATGCTTACATACACTGTGTTCCCACAGCAAATGACTGTCTTCCTTATGATGACCTAGATGTCCTTCTTTTTAAAATCACTGCCACAAACTTCTCCTCAAAACAAAAATTGGGTCATTTTATTGATAATAATGCAAACAAGTCTCTGCATATGTGTTCAGGAAATAAAATCTCACAGTAGAACTGATTGAGTTTGGAATTCATCCCAGTGCAGTTCTGGACCTTGGAGGCAAATATCAGCGTATGTCATTGCGCATCGGCTTGGCTGATTTATGTTGCTCATCTGTATTTTCTTCTCTTTTCTTGCACCTTTCCTTTCTCTTCTTTTCTTTTTCTTCCTGTCCTTCCTGCAGCTCTGTCTGATCGGGGCACTGTTGTGCTGGAAGCAGCCATGGCCAGTGCTCTATCCACTCTTGAGCGTGCAACGTCTGAGAGAAGCCGGGCTGAAGCCAGCTGCCGGGGTTGTGTTCCCTGTCTGTTTCAGAACTGCGGACAGCTGTCAGGGTCCTGCTGTGAGTGCAACATCATGCTTACTTGCCTGTTCAATCCTGATCACCTTTTAGTCACATCGAGTCACCGCTCCACCACTGCTATATCTTGGTGTGTCTTAGATGTCCCCTTCTTGTCAACAGCGTCTTCTTCCAATGCTCTATCAGAGCCTAGCTGTGAGGTCATCAGTAAGGCCCAGAAGCTTCAAGGTGAGGCGGAGAGGAGCTGGGCTCTGAGTCAGGCCTGTGCGTACTATCAGCATCGCTGCCCACCTGGTGAGGCGGACACGGAGAGCTGCATCAGGGTCATGGGGGAGAGCTGCAGTGCTCGCGTCCTCCAGTGCAGCCTGCTCAATACAATGCAGAACCTGGAACCGGCTATGCAGACGCACGCACAGGGTGAGCGGAGACATCTTTTTACACACGCAGAGGCATTAGATTTAATTGCTTTGCATCGTTTTTCACCAGCGATGCCTGTTCTCTGTCCCAGCAGCAGTGTGCGGTCAGAGGTCAGCCACAGTGCAAAATGTTACGCAGCCTCGCTCCAGGATTGTGGGCGGCTCTCCTGCACCTCCAGGCAGCTGGCCCTGGCTGGTTAACCTGCAGCTGGATGGTGCCTTGATGTGTGGAGGGGTTCTGGTGGACAGCTCCTGGGTGGTCACTGCCGCACATTGTTTTGCTGGGTTAGTGTGCATGTGTGACTATTTTCTTTGCAAAGACAGATGAGATAGTAGTCAAATTCACAGCATTTAGCATTTGTTAAAACTGTCTTTTGACCTCTGCAGCAGCCGTAGCGAGAGCTACTGGACAGCTGTCGTAGGTGAGTTCGACATCACCAAGACTGACCCTGATGAACAGGTTCTCAAAGTGAATCGTGTCATCCCCCATCCGAAGGTAAAAATCCAACGTGCGGGATCATAGCTTTTAGTATTTTAATTAATCACCGATTTATTGATCAGGGGCAATAACAGGTCTGTCACGTCTCTGCAGTTCAACCCAAAGACATTTAACAATGATATAGCACTGGTGGAGCTGACTTCTCCAGTGGTCCTGTCTCAACACGTCACCCCAGTGTGTCTTCCTTCTGGTATGGAGCCCCCCACTGGCAGCCCGTGTCTGGTGGCAGGCTGGGGCTCCCTCTATGAAGGTGAGTTCAGTATCCTATAGACACACTGTGTCATGCTAGCCTCAACTTATTTTTGTATCCTACCAAATCAATAATGGTGTATTTTTGTCCACAGATGGCCCATCTGCTGATGTGGTGATGGAGGCCAAGGTGCCCCTGCTGCCTCAAAGCACCTGTAAGAGTGCTCTTGGCAAAGAACTGGTCACCAACACTATGCTTTGTGCTGGTTATCTTTCTGGAGGCATAGACTCTTGTCAGGTGGGCACATTAGAATTTCTGGGTTTTCTTTTTGAATTATCTTTATCAGTTACTGAAGTGGCACCACTTTAATTCATTGCAAACCATAAACTATCACCTGCAGGGAGATTCTGGCGGCCCCCTGATCTACCAGGACCGAATATCTGGTCGATTTCAGCTCCATGGCATCACATCCTGGGGAGACGGCTGTGGAGAGAAAGGCAAGCCCGGCGTTTATACGCGGGTGTCTGCCTTCTCTGACTGGATTCAGGCAGAGATACAAAGTAAGTTGTGTATTTATATCAATATAAAGTAATCTGACATAACCTCGCTTTACCGTAAAAGTAAACTCATCTGAGTAATTTGAAAAGTATTATCAGTGGCTACTCCGTAATACTGACATACTGCACTTCATCATGAAATCATCACTTCTACTTCTTCTTTTTAGAGTCATTTGGGAGCCGTGAGCCTACATGTCCAGAGCTTCTAAAGACAACTGAAATGACAGAAGAAGAACAGAGGTCAGAGTTCAGCTCTCTGTGTCGCTTCTATAAACTGACCTGTCCTTCTGGTCAGTCTGCCAGCGCTTGCAGCCGACTGGCCGAGGACAAATGCCTCACCCGCTTCAAGAAATGCCGTGAGTACTTTTATTTGAAACGCCTGGCTTCATGAATGTACAACAAATACCTGATATACTGTTTGCGCTGAGTTTTCTGATCTTTCATTCTCTCTCCATCATCTAGAGTTGCACTCATTCTTGCAGACCCTGCTGGACTTGCTCCAGAGGGCCGAGGACTACATCAGGGACAAAGTGGACTTGACTTTCTTCACCCAGACTCTGCCTCAGCTTGTGGAGCATATCTACAGCACAGCTTTCACTCACACCAGAGAGAGGCGGGACCTAGGCCTGAGCCACAGTCTTAAACAGATTGAAGGTACATGACTGACAGAGGATGCCTGTCATGTTTTGCTGCTTGCTGCTGTAACAGGTGTTTTATTACTTGCAGAACAGCTAGGTGGTGCTGTGGTGCCAGCAGAGGAAGGCCCTTCTCCAGTTCCCCCAGCCTTATTCACAGACGTCGGGGCGTTGGTGGATGACTGGGAGAAATATCTGAGAAGCATGGCCGATGATGTGGATGAACAAAACTCTGACACAGATATCTCCTCCAAAATCAGGAAGCAGGAGGACAACCTTTTCTTGCAGGTGCGCTGTGTAATGCTCAAGAATAAAGTGATGCATGGTTTATCTTACACAGACGACAATTTGAATTGTATATGTGTTTAATTTAATGAATAACTGCATGTGTACAAAGTAAACTGTGGTTAATTACAGCACAAAACAAATCCCAGTAAGATAAAACAATGAAAATCAAACCTAGGGAGGGTTAATGTGAGTTTCTTTCAGCTACGGCTTCACTTTGTTTCCGTATGTTTTAATTTCAGCTTAATCTGAACATCAAAATCTATTTTTAATGTCTCCAGACACAGGACTCCTTTCTGCAGCAGCTCGAGGGAGAATATCAATCCATCATCTCAGCTCTGCGTTCCAAACTGGACTCCAGAGCTGCTCCTCCCATCCTGCACTTGGACACAGTCTACCTTCAGGAGGAGTCTCCGTCTGTCTTTACTCCATCCACTGGAGCGCCGGACCACACACACCCACCCTCGTCTTCCTGGGTATCACAGAAGCCTTGGTCACTTCTGACAGCGTTCATAAATGATGTTAAGAATTTAAAGGCACAAAGTAGGATTGCCACAGAAGCAGGATCGCAGAGTGAAAGCTCATTTAGTGAAGAAGCTACTGCTAATGAAAAACGGAGAGGCGCGTCAGAGGATTTGACATTTTCTGAGAATGGAGACAGCACAGAGTCAACAACTGTTCTCCAGCCAGTCACTGAGAGCGCGCCCACAGAGACCGCTGACCTCAGACAGGCTGCTGTCAAGCCTTTAATTCTTCACAGAAAATACAGGAGCCTTGTTCACAGGAGGCAAACGACCGGCGCCAACATGAAAAGTGTGTGCCACATCTTTATTCAGACAAGTTTCATTACATATATTCCAAAATGCATGTGCTCAAGTGTGTTTGTTTCCCCCCTGTAGTTTGTCCTGGAGTGAGAGAGTCTTCACAGAAAGTCAGCCAAGTCAGAGACTCTTACAGCTGGGTGTTAAACATCCCGAGCAAGAATCTCCACATGAACTTCCAGGAGGTAAGTCCCAGTAAGATGCATGCAATATTCTTTTTGAAACAGCCTTTTAATGAGCTCTCTCCTTTCTTCAGGTGTTAGTTGATCTGGGCTCCAAGAATGACCGAGGACTTTACCAAGCGCGGGTCAGAGCTGTAGTTGGAGGACGACCTTTGACCTTCTACAGTCTTGTGGGCCTAGAAAACGATTCTTTCTACCGCAGCGTGCCGAGGATCATCGCTTTGGCACTGGAGGCTCTCAAGTCGTAACTGCTGCCAACGCTAAAAAGGAGAGATGATGGCAGAAAGCCTCTCCAAGTCAACTGAGAAGCTTTTAACAGACAGATGCGTTGAAAGCGCGCACAGACTTTACTTCTTGCCTCTGCTGTTTCCTGACTCTAAACGAAAAACATGAATGTATCAACCCACTTACTGACCACCGGTAACACCACAAGCTTTTGTATGTGGTTGTAGACGCAGCCTTGTCTAACGTATGAACCCGAACAAAAATGATAAGTTATTCATATTGTCTTTTACAAAGGTTGAGCCTCTTGTAAAGCACATACGTGCTATATATATTATGTAATGTTTATTCTTGTAATATTTATTTGTATAGAGAAAAGTATTTGTATTTTTGTAAAAAAACAAAACAAAAATTAAGGTCTATAAATAAAAAAGTTATTAATGTTATGGGATGCTGTATTTATTGTAAGGAAAGATTGAGTTAGCAGTAATGCAGCTTCTGATCTTCCCGTCTTTGTGACCCCACATTCATTGGTTTCACCCTTTGAGCAGAGCTTTACGGTCAGTGCAGCAGCTGTTACTGTGATGACAAGAACCTCCGTGATTTCTCTTCTTAAGATGGGTAATTTTAACAGGATCCAGAAATACACCACCCTCTAGAGTCTCTTATTGTCTGTCATTATCCACAACTGGCAAGTTTAAAGGAAGTGGCACTCTTTGAGCAGCAAACAGGCCCCCATTATTGCTTTGTGTTGACTTTTGCTTCTCTAATCCTGTATTTGAGTCTTTAAACAATCGGTTGAATTAAGCCGGTACTTAACGTTGTGATCACAGACAGGTAATTTCCCAGAAAAGGAACATACAGGGGCAAGACAGCTGAGTAAACACAGATACATACCTCTGTTACATCACATTAACTCCTGCTTTTGACCTGCGTGCTTAAGTGTGTGTATTTTTGTGACAAACATGCACGTACACACACACAAGTCATGACAGGACACAAATGTGCTGGCATCCAGGGCCTGGCCACTCATCACAGACGCTGTGCTGTAAATGGACAAGACTTCCCACCTGTTGTCTTCTCTGCTGTTTGTCAGTTTTTTTTAGTTTCTGGCTTGTTGTGCTCTTTCTCTCTTTAACACCAGATCTGTCTAATCCCTCTGTTGTAAAGAATAGATTTAACTGAGACTATAAAACTGAGAGTTTTAGATATCAGTGCTGGGTCGAGTGTGCTTTGAGTTCATTACAGAGAATTGCGTTCATGTAACTGAGCAACAATAGACGGGTGCACCGAACAGAATTATAATGCGACATGTTTAACACTGGAGGGCAGCCATGGACAGAGTACAATGCTCAAACTATGGGTGTGTGTCTGTGTGACAGCTGGCTATGCCGTGCTGGAAATCCACTTTTGGATTTTACCCTAACAATCACCCAGTCACCAACCCCCAACCTTCAGCCTTCCCGTCAACCCGAGCTTCGACCTCTGGTGGGAAGCACACACGGGTGCCCGAGTCCGTGCGTGTCACATTAGTGGTTGAGGGTTTGTCTGGGACAGCACTGCACAAAGACACGCTGATGGACTTTGGAGCTCCGTGCACTCTGCCACTCTTTATTGGAGTGTTAGTGTTTTGTGCCACAGGTAGGAACACTAAGGAGCCACTGCACAGTTTGAGGGAAGCAGTTTGGGTTTCTTGTTGCTGTGATTTGCATGCTGTTGTTTTTGAAGACCAAAGATGCTGCTGAGTGTTGCTTAGAAACAATATGCTTTTTTTTTTAGCAGTCTATTATTTTCACTAATTCTCACTGTGTTTGCATTCAAACAAAGTGCAGTACACTGAAAAGCACTGATCACCAGACTGTACAGACCATGTGTTGTTGGCATTTTCACTGGTAAATCTCAAAACATCTGTTCTATCTAAAAGATCTAATATACATTTGTCAGTGCACACAGTCCCACTCATTTTGTTATGCTGATACCATACATGTGTCCTCTTTCACAGTCGACTATTAGTCTGGTAACTACATTTTTAAAAAATTATTGAATATTTGAAATATACATTTTAATAGTCATTACTACTTTGTTTTCTCGGGCACCAAAGGACAATTAAAAGCTTTCCTCCATAAGACAGTTTGAAATTGTTTTTAATAACTTTTTTTGTTTTTTGTTATTTTTCCAGTTTGTTAGTAAACTGAAATAATCTTTTGTGCGCTGGTGGTTTTTACAAAACAAATATTTTTATAATGTAGTTGTCTCTTCATTGATCATTTGATTATTACGACAAAGTTTCTCTGGGAAATTAAACTTTGTCAAAACATTCACGAGAGACTGTTTTTACCCGTGCACTTCAGCAGTTTTTTTGTTAGGCTTCGATAATGTTGGGGAGATGAAAGAAGTAAGTAGAGATACCTAATCTTCTGGCTTAATAAGTTCTGAAGCCTACATTTCCCATCATGCAGCTCAATAGCATTTTTAATCAAATGCCCATACCTCCTATATACTAACTTCTTTCATCCAGTTTTTAAAGCAGGCTGTTTGTTAATAATTTTGCCACAAATCGAAACCGCGGTAACCATGTTGTAATCTCAAACGTCACAGTAGAGCTGATGCAACTATGGAGCAAATATTCCTTATGACGAGCAGACAATGCAAGAGATACGATCGAAAAGCTGCGGGCATCATCACATAAACATAAAAATCTCTACACAAGACTTCTGGACTTATTTCAGCACGGATGCTACATCTGCTTCACTTCATAGAAGTTCCATTGTGTCCTCTTGCATTTGTGTCTCTAACAAGTTACAAAAATAAAATCAGATGTACTGGAAGACATCTGGACGTGCCTGAGAAGATCTTGACCAGAAGATCAGTCGAATTCAAATCTTTTACAACTTACTATCTTTATTTGCTGATTCCCACAGCTTTTTGGATTGTCTGGCTATTTTACCTGCTATAAAAATGCGCAGATCGACCCTTTAAATCAACCTGCTTTGTCGTGGCTGTTCATGTTCTTGTGCGCAGCCTCGGCAGCCAACCTTGAAAGGGAGCTGTTTAAGGATTTGATGAAGGGCTACAACAAGAACGTTCGGCCCATGGAGAAGAGTGGAGACATCACTAAAGTCTCCATCAAGATGACGCTCACCAACCTCATCTCTCTGGTGAGTAGAGCTTGTCCTGGTGCGTATGATTAGCCAGTGATGACCCTGACCAAAACCCTAATTCTCACATTAGACAATCAGGATACATCATTTTTATTTTTATTAAATTATTCTCCCAAGCCATGAGCAAAGTCTAACTGACACACATCAAAAATGTAATATTTTCGTCTTCAAAACGTAGGACAGGCTAGGGTTAGAGTTGGGTTATCATCTATAATGACCTCAGAGGGTTATTGTCTATGGTTGCAATGTTTACCAAACTGTGTCCTCAGAATGAAAAGGAGGAGGCCCTGACCACCAACGTCTGGATCGAAATGGTAACTTTTGGAGGTCCTTTTTTAGCTTCTTTCAAAAATACCCAGTTTATGCATTCGAAAAGAAGTCAAACCTGCAGTGTTTCTGTGTGTAGCAATGGTGCGACTACAGGCTGAGATGGGACCAGTCACCCAGGTCAGCTCTGTATGGGAACATCACCTCTAGTCTGCGTGTCCCCTCCAAAAGCATCTGGTTGCCTGACATTGTACTGGAGAACAAGTGAGTGAATCCACCTTCAGATATGAATTTTCCATTGAGATATGAGTTTTAATGGTTAGGCAGCCATCATGATACGTCTCTGAGGACTTTTTTGGGCTGTTAGTTGAAGCATTCTAAAATATTAATTAACAATAAATTCATTTTCAGGATAAATGGGAACATTAAAAATGCATTCATACAATCACCCATCAAATCATAGTTGATTCTGATATTTGTTTATTCAGGAGACCTGTGGGTTAAATCAGGTTTCTCTGGACTAACCAGTCTGCTTAAAGCCTTGTAAATGCACCTAAAGTACTTTGAAAGTAAACCAAACAACATGTGGGAGGCGAAGAAAGCATTCACCAAAGATGTAGCTGCCTTTTTTTTAAACAAAACTTCGGTTCTGTTTTCTTTGAGCTGCACCAACCCTAGTGAAAGGTAAACATTACATCGTGTTTCTAAAATCTCCTTTCCTCTGTGCTCGCCGAGGAGAAGCACAGTGGTGCAAAAATGGAAGCAAAGGGCAGAGTTTAGGTAAAAGAAGTCATGAGTGAACTTCAGATAGCGCTTTCAGGTTCTGCACTCTCACACTGTTAGAGGCAGATTTCGTTTTTAATACTATTGCAATCATTTAAAAACACATATTATCACATTATGATGACAGATGTATTTGTTTCCAGGTAAAGTTTCTCTTATCTAAGATAAATCTACAAGCCTGTACGTGTGAAATCATGAATGAGGCCTGATGTGTGCATGCGTGCACGAATGTATGCAATTAACTGCAGATAAACCATACACCATCTTTCTCATCTTCCTTCTGGTCCGTAGCATTGATGGACATTTTGAGGTAGCTCTTTACTGCAATGCACTGGTGTCTCCTGATGGCTGTGTGTACTGGCTGCCTCCTGCTATTTACCACAGCGCCTGTGCCATCACTGTGAACTATTTTCCCTTCGACTGGCAGAACTGCACCATGGTCTTCCGGTAAGAGATCAGATGGGACTTGATCTGTACAAAACGCAAGCAATCACAAGTCTGTCACCCCCAACCGGTCAAGGGAGATGGTTGTCCCTCCCCCAGCCTGGTGCTGCCGGAGGTATTTTGTTAAAAGGGAGTTTTGCCTTCGAACTGTCACCAAGTGCTTGCTCATCGGGGGTTTTCTCATTGCTGGGGTTTTCTCTGTATTATTATAGGGTCAACCCTTTATGTAATTTCTTCTTATATAAATAAAATTTAATTAAAGGCATGACATGTAAAAAGAATCCAGAGTGTCTAAATCAACAGCAATCAGCTTCCTTCAGTCATGTTACCTTCTTGCTCTTGAAGGTGTTGACTGGTCGACTCTGACCGCATGTTCTGTGTCATGTGTTCAGCTCGCAGACTTACAGCGCCAATGAGATCGAGCTGGTTCTCACAAAAGAAGATGACGTCACATTAGAGTGGGTGGATATCGACCCAGAGGCCTTTACAGGTATTTGAAGAATAGATTTGAAATTAGTGAACACAATAAAGACATCCATTGGTTCATATAAAGAAGAAGAAACTTTTTTTCTTGTGATAAAAGACTATTAAAGACTTTTATTTTGTGTTTTTTAGAGAATGGAGAATGGATTATCAGACACAGACCAGCCAAGAAGGTGATCAACACTCAGTACACCAAAGATGACCTGGAGTATCAGGAGCTGGTCTTCTTTCTTATCATTCAGAGGAAGCCTGTCTTCTACATCATTAACATTATTGCTCCCTGTGTCCTCTTCTCCTCCCTCGGCCTGCTAGTCTACTACTTACCTGCCAAAGGTTCTTCTTCTTACTTTGTGTAAAGTGTGATCATAAACCCATCAGGCATAACATCATGACTATCTGCCTAGTACTGTGGTGGTCCATCTTTTGCTGGACTCCACTAGAGCCCTGAAGGTGTGCTCTGGTATCTGGCACCAAGATGTTAGCAACAGATCCTTTAGTCCTAAAATGTTTCATGGCAGGGCCTCCATGAATTGGACTTGTTTGTCCAGTACATCCTGCAGATCCTCGACTGGACTGAGATCTGGGGAATTTGGAGGCCAAGTCAACACCTCAAACCTGTTCTTGTGCTCCTCAAAGTATTCCTGAAACATTTGTGTCAGGAAGCACTATCCTGCTGAACGAGGCCACAGCCATCAGGGGATACTGTTTCCATGAAAGCTTTTTCATGGTCTGCAACAATCTTTACATAGGTGGTATATGTCAAAGTAACATCCACATGGATGGCAGGACCCAAGGTTTCCCAGCAGAACATTGCTCAAAGCATAACACTGCCTCCACCAGTTCACCTTCTTCCCATAGTGCATCTTGGTGCCAGGTGTTTCCCAGGTAAGTGATGCACACACACCCGGCCGTCCACGTGATGTAAAAGAAAAAGTGATTCATCACACATGGCCACCTTTTTCTATTGCTCTGTGATCCAGTTCTGACGTGCACATGCCCATTAGACTGGGGGCATCATGCAGCTATGCAATGCTTCTTCCTTTTAAAAGGGAGTTTTGCCTTCCCACTGGCACCAAGTGCTTGCTCATAGGGCGTTGTCTGATTGTTGGGGTTTTCTTTGTATAATTGCAGGGTCTTTACAATTAAAGCACATTGAGGCGACTGTTGTTGTAATTGCAATATAAATAAAATGTATTTGAATTGAACTGTAAGGAATTTTGGAGTGAATATGTAGGTCTGAAGCCCCATATGCAACAAGCTACAATGGACTGTGCATTCTAACACTTTTCTATCAGAACCAGCATGAACTTCTTCTGCAGTTTGAACTACAGGAGCTCGTCTGCTGGATTGGACCCCACGAGCCAGCCTTTGCTGCCCATGTGTCAGTGAGCCTTGGCTGCCTATGACCTTGTTGCTGGTTCACCACTGTTTCTTCCCTGGACCACATTTGGTCTGCAGACCAGTAACAACTCATAAGAGCTGCAAAATATGAGATGCTCTGACCCAGTCGTTTAGCCATCACAATTTGGCCCTTGTCAAACTTGCTCAAATCCTCATGCTTGCACATTTTTCCTGCTTCTAACCTCAACTTTGAAGACAAAAAGTTTACTTGGTCCCTAATATAGCCCATCCACTAACAGGTGCCATGATGAAGACATAATTAGTGTTATTCACTTTACCTGTCATAATGTTGTGCCTGTTGATGTACGTTGACAGTGAGTCAGGATTTTATTCATACTTTGACCTATGATCATAGAAATACAGTGACGATCTAGCCGTTGATGCATACATTAGGTCAAAACTGCACCACCCTGACTGAGTGCTGGTTTTGGTTTTACAGCTGGTGGTCAGAAGTGCACCATGTCTATTGTGACTCTTCTGGGCCAGACTGTGTTCCTCTTCCTCATTGCTAAGAAGGTTCCAGAGACTTCTCAAGCGGTGCCTCTTATTGGAAAGTAAGCGGCTGATTTTCAGATTTCAGCTCAGAGTTTTAGGTTTGTGTTGAAAATGATACGAACATTTGACCGCAGGTATCTGATGTTTGTGATGTCGGTGACCACCATGGTAGTGATAAACAGTGTCGTAGTCCTCAACGTATCCCTGAGAACCCCAAACACTCACAAAATGGCAGACAAAGTCCGGAAGGTGAGGCTGTGTCTGAATCATTTGAATATCTTTTAAAGCTGCTCAATGAAGGGAACACGTCTATTTAGCTGTGATTTCATCTTAAACACCGTGTCACCCTCAGATCTTCCTAAACATCCTGCCTCGCCTACTTAGGATGCAGATGCAACCCTGGACACCAAACGCCGGCCATGCATCAGAAATGAGAAATGGTGAAACTGTGTCTGCAGGCAGGAATGGTGTCCACCTGGTTCCCTGCCGTCGGCGCAGCTCTATCACTGTCATCACTAAGGCGGAGGAATACGTAATGAAAACAGCTCGGTCTGAGCTCATGTTTGACAAACTCAGAGGGAGAAATGGATTGATGAAATCAGTGCTGGAGAAGCTACGTAAGTATTTGAAAGAGTTTGTTACACATTCTTTTTAAATTATTTGTAAAACTTTTGACAGTTTAGGTTATCCTTTGAAATGCATAAATATAACACGTAAATATATGGCTTTTTGTGAATATATGACTCCAGATGATGGGCTGGAGGGGGGTACAGCACAGCACCTTGTTAATAGTCTAGCAAAGGCCAGTCCAGAGCTGAAGCAGTGTGTGGTCTCCTGCAAACACATCGCTGAGACTGCAAGACAGCAGAATGACTTCCAGAGTGTATGCTTAACCATTTTACTCTTTGCACATTTGCAATGGACATTTAGATGAGGTCTTAGTTGGGAATGCCAGAGCTAATAGCAATGTATCATCTCACTCAACCGCAGGAAAATGAAGAATGGTTCCTGGTTGCCCGTGTCATCGACAGGGTCTGCTTTATTGTCATGGTGTTGGTGTTTTTTATCGGCACTGTTGGCATCTTCTTGATGGGCCACTTCAACCAGCCGCCCTCTACACCTTTTCCTGGGGATCCAAAGAAGTATCTCCCTCCACTACACAACATTACTGCTGTAGCAGGAATGGAAACAAACGCCTTAGGGTGAACCAGGGAGAAAATGTTTGATGTTATCACTTTAGCCAGAGTGAGAATCTGACAGCCTTCATTAGTGATCTTTCACTAATGACTATGATACAAAGAATGGAGAAGATGCAGCTGTATGTGTTTTCTGCACAGGTGCCTGCTGTGGGGCTGCGGACGATCACAGAAGCAAGTACAATCCACTGCACCATTGTGTGAATGCATACTGTATCAGCTGTCCTGGCTGTTGAGATTGTTTGTGTTGCATTTAATGCTGTAGAAGATGGTCTCCTTACTTACATCTCAGTGTTTGCTCTAAGTGCTGTTCATTTTTAACAAAACTATGGGCACAAGCCACGAGACATGGTGTTGACCACAGATTTCATTCGTTGTACGAGAATCTTTCTTTTTATCAATAAAAGCATTTTAATTGTATGATTTTTGTGACTGAGTCATTTTTGAGGCCAGTGGAAAGTTTCGGCCCCCACCCCCCCACTCCCAAACCTGCCACTGAAGCACAAATATCCTGCACAGCCCCCCTCCTCTGGAAGCATTTCAATTACATGACTGAGTGGTGCCTTTCTACCCCAACAAAAGGCAGATCCGGCTGGTTGGGATGGAAACAGAGTCGTTTTGAGATGGAGCTGAAGTCCGAAAACACTGACAAAGTCAAACACTGCTATGTGAATAGCCACACAAACACACGGGGGGTAAGAAGGCTTAGTCCCTCCAGATAATGATAACTCATGAAGGCTCGCCTGGTTTCTTGCTCGTAACACTTAGATGATCCGAGTCTGTGGAGGGTGAACACTGATGGTAAGCAGGCCTGTGATGCTCTTTTGTGCTGTTTTCTTTCTTTCTAATCTCTTATTGGAAATACATGATAAGTAAAGGCTCCAGGAAGATCTTAGCCAGTATAGAAACTCTTGAGCTATCAATGTTTATACAAGGGAGCTTCGGTTTGATGCTGTGAGCTGCTACTCGCAGCTGCAGGCTGGGTGAGACAGGAATATTAACGTGTGATCTGAATGTGAAAAAGTATTAAGCTATTGCAAGGAGGATGTTAATATTGATACCAGGAAACTGCCAAGAAACACAGTACAGGAGAAGGAAAGCTCCTTTTTTCCCCTATCAAACTTTTGATCACAACATAAAAATTTATTAAATTTTAAATTACAAGCTTACATGATAAAGATCTATTTGCTATGATTTTGAGACCGTTTTAGTGGATGTTTTATCATTTTGTCAGATTAATATTTAGTATTTAAGGCACAACACCAGCTCCAAAAAGTTGTGATGCAATTGTTTGAAAATCTGATAAACCTACATTTTCTTAACAATAGAACAATGAAAACATATCAAACGTTTAAACTGAGAAAATGGCTCCGAAAATTGGGGTGGGCAAAAGGCTGGGAAAGTAAGTGGTACTCAAAGGAAACAGCTGGAGGAACATTTTACAACTAATTAGGTTAATTGCACCATTAAACAAAAATATGACAAAGATCCAGCAGTGCTGAGCAGATATGATCGTAGCTTTTCTAAAAGTGCAGCAGGTGGTCTTCTCAGTACCCAGATGTCTACCGGCTGTTATTAAAAGAAGGGGGGATGCTACACAGGGTAAACATGGCCCTGCTCACAGCTTTTTTTAATACATGTTGCTGCCATGTTCTGTTTTTATTTACATTTTACACACTTTCACAACTTTTGGGGGAATTTGGTTTGTAAATAATGAAAGATGTGTGTGGATTTTCTTCTTTAAGCACCTACTATACTTTATTTAAGTAACTTGCTTGCAGTCTATAGACTGGGTATGAGTTAAAGCATCCATCCTTCAAATGTTTTCTTTAAGGTTTCGGTATGATTCATTTTTCAGTTTGAGACCATGTCAGCCGTGATGAATCAGCCTCTTCCCTTTGGACGACTTGAGCGAGAGAAGCACATTCACATGGTCTTCAGGGCTTTTCACAACCGCTGTGGACCCTCTTGTGAGTGCCAGACTCAAAGCACTCCACCCAAATCCCACCAAATGCCTCCTGACCTGGAATCTGAAGAGCAGCTTTTGGGCCAGACTGCTGAGAATGGCTTGATTCAGCCACCGGTGAAGAAGACTGGTAGTGCAGTGAGATCATGCTTTATGTCTGTGCTGGAAACTGCTAGTGAGATTCATATCACTGCCAAGCCAGAGCTGCAAGGTGAGGAGGACTACTTTTTTCTTTTACATAAAACAGGACTCTTGTTTAGATGTGTGTGCGTTAAGAAAATACCACATCCTGACTGCAGGTCCTCAGTGTGTTTCTAGGAGGATCTATAACATCACTACAGAAGGCAACAGGTCACAGTCATTTGTGGCTGTGGAAGGTATTTGTCCCGTTCCACCACGTGTCTTACTCTTATAACTACTGATGTTTTTCAGCATATTCTCAGCATTTGTTCTCTTCTCCCTCCTCTTAGAGAGCTCCTGTGTGTGTCTGCAGTGCTGTGGTCCAGCTCGGGCCTACACCCTGAAAGGCTTTGACAGTGAGGGCAGTCAGGTCTTTTATTTTGAAAGGCCCCTTAGGGTGGACGCCTGTTGCCTCGGCTGCTGCCTGATGGAGATGAGAGCGTACACACCTCAAAACCATCTCATTGGCACCGTACATCAGAGGTAGGAAACTTGTTCATTCCTTGGTGTATATATGTTCCTACTAAACGCTGATGAGTTTGTTTCCTTATGTTGCTCAGTAGTTCTAAACTACATGTGATCAAGCCACACTTAGGCTTATATAACTCACTTCTGTTGTTATAATGAGAGTGAATATATAGGTAGGTACTGTAGGTAAGTAGGTAAAGTTAGTGGTGAAGATTTATATTAAGGAGACATACTTCATACATGAGCCTCTTTAGCTTCTCTGAGAAATCTAATGAACTGAATTTTACAAACTACTGGCCTTTGGTTAATGGGTTAACAAAAATTATAAACATAAATATAATTATGTCTGAAGGAGTCCACAGAAGTCTTTAGTCTGCACTCATTCATTTCAGTTTTATTTATATTGCCTATTTACAACAACAGTCACCTCAAAGCACTTTACATTGTAGGGTAAAGACCCAACAATATTAGAAAGAAACCCTAACGAGCAGATGACCCCCTTGTGAGCAAGCAGTTGGCGACACAGGGAAGGAAAAGCTCTCTCTTAAAAGGGAGAAACCTCTGGGAGAACCTGGCTCAGAGTCCAGCCCTAACTATAAGTTGATTAGAAAGGAACATTTTAAACCTCAATCTGCTCTATTGGGGTTATATGGTACTATGATGTCTTTCAGATAAAAGGGGGCCTGATTATTCAAGATCTTGTATGTGATCAGAAAGATTTTAAATTTGATTCAGAATTTAACAGGGAGCCAATGAAGAGAAACCAGTATGGGAGAAATATGCTTTCTCTTTCTAGTCCCTGTCAGTACCTAGGTCCTGTCATCATTTTGACAGGACCTAGGTACTGACAAAAAGACAGTCTTTCAGGGAACTTTTAGAAGAATCTGATAATAATGGGTTACAGCAGTCCAGCCTAGAAGTAAGGAACTAGTCTGGATAAAATGGTTGTTTTGTGGATCATTTGAGTTTGAAGAATAACATTCACATAGTATATTTTTTTCTTATTATTATTACTATAATTTTACATTTTTAATTTGGATGAACAAACACCAGTAGCATTTTATACTGTCAGACTAAACACTTCGCATGTGAGCCTTTTTCCATGTCATTCAAGGCCTGGGACCACACTGGCCTAGATGCTCAGGCCTGTCTGTAAATAGCAGTCGGGGCCTTTCCTGTTCTGAACAGGCTGAGTGTAATATAAACCTGGGATGGTTAATGCACAGCACAGCTGTCTGCACACCAAAAACACACCAACAGAGCTGGCGTGGGCTCGTAGGGGAAGGAATGCGACATCCTTCCTAATGGGAATGTTGGCCAATGGCATGGCAGGCTCACGGCTCTTCTGTCGTCAACCCAAAATACTTCCTTCTTCATCTGTCCTAAATCTGACTCCAGGGTTAGCGGGGGTGTCTTTGTGTGTCAAATTTAGAGTTTTCCAGAAGCAACAGTCGGTGAAGTTGTGCCCAATTAGGACTGGCCTGGCAGAGGTTTCAGTGACCAGAGTTCGACTTGGTATAAATATTCTCTCAGTTGTGCTCTAATAAAGCATGTCCCAAATTGAACTCTTCTGACACCGAGCAAACAATTGCTTTGGTGCTGCAGAATCATGACAGCTGAAAATGCAATCATCCAACCATCAAGACTGGGCTGCACCTCTGTGTGAAGCACTGGCCAGTCTCTTTGCCAGGAGGCTTAGTGCACGGTTACTGAGTTGCTGTGTGTTGGTGACCATGTTTTCAGGTGGAGCATGTTTACGCCCCTCCTGGAGGTCTGCGCTTCAGGAGGGGCGTCTACCATCAGAATCCAGGGCTCCTGCTGTCCATGCCGTTGCTTCTCCAACCAACAATTCCAGGTAGGAATATTTATAACTCATAAAAGTATATGTGTGACTGAAAAGTGTAACATTGCAGTAGTGCTTTCATGCAGTTTTAAATTATACACTAGATTGTCTCCAACATTGGTGAGGAAATAGGCACGATATGGAAGAAATGGCCTGGCTTCAACGAAGAACACAACATGGACCATGAATACTTTGGGCTGGAGGGTGAGTTCTACCTCAGTAAATTACATTCCTAATTTGTCTTTGACAGGATGCCAGAGAACATTTACCTTTCCCAAAGTTTAGTTTCGGACCAAGTTTACTTTAATCGACCTCTTCAGATCTGATACTTTTATTTACTGAACAGATAAGAAACATGACTGAAAGAAAAACAACAGACCAATATAATAAAGCACACTCACCGGATACCTTATTAGGTACACCTCGCTAGTACTAAACTGCAGTATATTTTGCCTTCAGAGGTGCTTTAAGTCTTTGTGCCAGAGACTCGACAAGTTGCTGCAAACACCCCTCAGAGACTTTGGTCTATCATGACATGACAGTATCACACAGTTGGAACAGAAGTTTTGGCTGCACATTCATGATGTGAATCTCCTTTTCCATCACATCCCAAAGTTACTCCATTACATTGAGGCCTGGTGACTGGAGGCCATTGGAGCACAGTGAGCTCACTGTCACATTAAAAACAAAACAAACAGTTTGCACTTTCAGACATGGTGCCATCAGAAGATGTGTACACTGTGCTTATAAAGGGATGGACGCAGTCAGAAACAATACTCAGGTAGGCTGTGGTGTTTAAATGCTGTTTATACTAAGTCCAAAGAGTGCCAAGAAAATATTTGGCACACCATTACACCACCAGGAGCCTGAACCATTTATACAAGGCAAGATGGATCGATGACTCCACACTGTTCATTTTAAATTCTGAAACAACTGAATGTTGCAGCAGAAATCAACAACATTCAGTTTTATTCATAGCACCAAACCTCAACAACAGTCACCTCAATGCACTTCTTGTTCATAGCTGACAGGAGTGGCACCCAGTGTGGTCTGCTGTAGCTCTGCTAGGTATGCAAGAGCATGCCTGATGTATTGTGCATTCAGACACTGTCTTCTGCATACGTTGGCTGCAACTCTGTTTAGAAAAGTGCTATATAACTTTAATAATAAAGTTAGTATTATTTGACTTTGTGTTGCCTTCCTGTCAGCTTGAAGCAATCTGCTCATTCTCCTCTGACATCTTGCATCAACAAGGCACTTTTAACTTTAACGTCAGTGGATCGTCTTCATCACAACCACATGCCTAAAAGCTTCGAGCTGCTGGCATGTGATTAGTAGGGGTGGGGAAAAAAATCGATACTGTGTAGTATCGTGATATTTTGTTTGCTAATAATGTATCGATACAGGGACAGCAGAAATCGATATTTTGTTACAAAAAAAGTTTGTGGAATGGAACATGCTCTGACTTCAGAGCATGTTGATCCTTTTTCTGAGCCAGAATCCTGACATTACTTCACTGTCCAAATGTGTTTAACTTTTTTTGGCAGCAATAAACATGACAGTTTACTTATTTTAATTTAAGACACGTTTTATTTTAATTAAGTTTAAAACTTTATTTAATGTAAAATTATATTTTGTTTTAATTTACTTTCAAATTCTTCAGTTGCTGAATGGGCTGCATAGTTTTCATAAATTTCATATTTCAGAATAGCTATAATTGTACCAGATGGTTGCATTCAGTTAAGCTGGACTAGACTGTAATACAAACCGTTCAGTTTGTCAACAATAAAACTGACTGAAATGAGAGACTGAGTGTGAGACTTTGATATTAGATAAAATGAATATTGATAAAGTTTACCTGTATGTACAGAATCTGAATATATTTAAAAATATTTTTTTTAAAATTGCAATAATATCGTATCATATTGTGCGTTAAGTGTTGTGATAATATCGTATTGTGGGATGTATGGTGATTCCCACCTCTAGTGATTAGCTGGTCAGATTTGTGTTAACAAGCAGCCAAACAGGTGTACCTAATAAAGTCACCAGTGAATGCTTTTAATTTATAAAAAATAAATGGAAAAAAAAGACTGTTCCATGATATTTACAGGGACATCAACTAACACCACTAGATTGTTTTTTTTTTAAAAAAGAAAAAGATAATTGCCAAACATTAACTGCATCTCTCTGGCTAGTATCAGACTTCTTTAACATTTCTAAGTATACCAAAGTCACAAACATAGTTTATTATTTAATCACGGCTTTAGTACAACTGTATGTATTCTATTTTCATCTTCTAGTTCCACTCAGTATGGAGTCACACACCAAACTCCTTCTCCTGGCAGCCACTTTCCTGTTGGTAAGCACGTGTGTCCGTCAGTGGGAAGATGTTCTGTCATACACAATATAATTATACCTTTCCCAAAGTTTCTACCTCAGACTTTGAAGACTTAGTTGCAAGTATGCGTTATGAATAAATTAGCTTACTAATGAATAAACATTCAGCAACAGTTTTATCTGTTCATTCATACTTACTTCAAACAGCAGCTAACAATTTTAATTTCATTCTATAATTTTAGTGAATAACTTATATATTTGTAATTTTAGGTAATGATTTCAACTGTTAATCATATTAATATAAAAGTACATTTAGCTAACAGTATCATTGGTCCATCTGTACTGGTGGTTGCTTTGAAGACAAGGACCAGGTCTGCAACCACTCACAGTCAGCTGCTGTCTTCAAAATGACTTTTGTGCATTAATACATCAATAAAACCACAATAAGACAGAATCTGCATACTCTGTGACTGAATGGAGGTCAAATTGGCAATAAGATGCAATATGTCTAGAAGACAAGTTCCTTCCCACCCGGCAATCTTGGCAATCGTCTCATGATCACTGACACGCTCCATCTCTTGGTAAGCAGCTGGTCATTACAAATACCTTTAATTTTTATTTTATTTTTTTTAAATGCTTTGATAAAGGTTTTTGTTTTTTGTTTTTTAAGTTGCAAGGAGGTTTCTCCTATTTTCACTCTAGTTTGACTGAGTAATTATTAAACATATTTTAAGTTCATGCCCTCCTTATTTGATGTTTTTTTCTTTTTAATTTTCCTAAATGCTTTTGGTCCGGATTGGATCCTTTGGTAGTGCCAATCTGGCCCCCAGGTTGTATGTTTGACATCCCTGCCTTGGGATCATTGTATACTAACTGGAAATCAGCGGTTCAGTATAAAAATCAGGACACTATATTAAGATGATCCCAGATGGGTGCACTGTAATATTAGAATATAATATTTGATGTATTGGCTCGTAAGGAGCCTTTCACGATTTGGTTTAATTGGAACTTGCATTACAACTGGAGATCATAATTTATATTGATGTTACATGCAAACAACCAACATGTTTACATGTAACAAAAGCAACATTTTGATGTGTGGGATCTTCCTCGGGTATCAATCGCAAGCATCAAAAATCTGCTTATGTAAAGATTCTTTAAGGAGTAAATTATTACTTTGAGCCAAAAAGTGTTCAGACCGTTCTTCTCCCCCCCGTTGCACACTTGCTTTCTTTCTCTAAAAAACATAAAAAGCATACATAAAGAAGACATTTTAATACAAAGAAAAACTAACACGTAGCACAGTGGTTAGCACTGTGGCCGCACAGCAAGAAGGTCCTGAGTTCAATTCCAACATCAGGCCGGGGTCTTTCCTTGTGGAGTTTGCATGTTCTCCCCGTGTTTGCGTGGGTTCTCTCCGGGTACTCTGGCTTCCTCCCACCATCCAAAGACACGCAGCTTGTGGGGATAGGTTAATTGGATAATTCAAATTGTCACTAGGTGTGAATGTGAGTACGAATGGTTGTCTGTCCCTGTGTGTTGGCTCTGTGACAGACTGGCGACCTGTCCAGAGCGTACCCCGCCTCTCGCCCTATGACAGCTGGGATAGGCTCCAGCGCCCCCCCACGACCCTGAAAAGGATAAGCGGAAGCGAATAGATGGATGGAAAAACTAACACTGTTTCTAACCTGTCTGAATGATTTCTCTGCAGAATCATATGTTTTTTGAAATGAGCTGACCAGCATCATCACATGATTTACAGACCAACGGGCACCCAAGCTTCCCGGTCTGGGAAGAAAGAAGAGCGGATAAAGAGGAATCTCGGCTTCTTGCAAACTCCACAGCTTCAGTTCCAGCGTTTATAAAAGAAAAATGGCACTAAACCATCTTTAGCAGCAGATGCATATTTACCATTTATTGCTATAATCCATCAGGTGTACATCCAACAGTGTTTCCTCGCTTTCCACACACTCACACACACACCTGCATCCATCATCACAATAACAAATAAGGGCAGCATTACAGTTTTTCAACAAACTGTAGGCTCTTTCTTAACATATTAAAAAAACAAAAAAACAAAAAACAAAAAAGCTCCCCAGGATAAAAACTGTAACAGACCCTGGGCCCCGTTTTCTTTTGTGGACTACAAAATGGAAAAGGAGTGAATATCAGTGTTTCAGGACTCCTATACACCTTTAACATTAAAGCAGAGCCCTTCCTTTAAAAGGTGGGGTAAAGAAAGGAGAAGGCAGGGAAGGGAAACCTGGTTCAGGTCAGGCTTGAGGCCAGGCACAGTGATTTAGGCAGCTTGGCAGTTCATTCTAAAGATGCCGGTTATAGAAACCTGCCCAACACAGGATCCTCATCCTTTGGGATACAACTTTTTAAAAATCGTATTAAGTGATCTTTGATGTGGATTGCATTTAAACATTAATATTTGTTCTAGTCCAAAATGACCAGAGGAATTGTAGTTAAAATACAGCACTGTGTTATAATAACCCTGTTTGAGTCCCAATAAAACTGATTAGCACACCTATTTTAACAGCAGGTGAAATGTCACGTTAAGCAATAAAATCATATAGAGTACAACTGATTCTGTTGTATTTAAAGCACACTTTGTCGAGCGTTCATGACCAGAACAGCCCACACCAGTCACTCACTGGTTAAAAGATGTTACAACTTGCATTACTAAAAAAGAAAAAAAGAAAAAAAAGAAACAAAACTGTAATTTCCTCTTCCAGTTGATTAAAATCACCTCTTTCATAGACCTGTTTCAGTGTTCTGTTGAAAGGCTTTTCTGTTCATTTCCAATTTGACACAAAGACCCAACGGTCTCCTGGCCTCGGTCCCCGACTTTTGCTCTGTCTTCGCATTACGCAGTGCCAATCCACGCAGAGCTGCCCTTCTCTGGACTCGGCTTCCCCCAACACATCCCGTATGCACACACCTGCACACCGCAAACAGAGACCACATCAGTAGAGTCTAACTACATCACACAGGTTGTGTTGTTGTTCATGTGAAATCCCACAGCAGGAGTTCTTACTCTTCGCTGAGCATCTCGGTGACGGGGGGCTAACGTCCTCCGCTAGCATTCACCAGACCATGGAAGTCTTCCCATGCTCTGCAAACAGAGGAGGATGCAGTAAATTATAATTCGCAGTAAAAAGCATAAAGAAATAATTATTTTCCTTGAAGAATCGTAAGCCCATCAGTTAACTGAATGAGAGCTTTAGATGGGGAAAAAAATAGTTGTATTCACAGTTACCAAAAACTAATGATGAAAATAAAAAATTTAGGCTTAGCTTTATGAGCTAAAGCTGCCAAAATAAAGAAATATACTAACAGAGGTCATTTCAATATTATAAAGATTTATACAGGCCATGTTAGAATGAATGGGACTTATTATTCTTAGCTCCATACTGGTATTTCTAGACTTTACTAGAGAAGCTTTGCACGATTCAGAGCTCAAAATAATCCCTGTGCATCTTTTCTGTGCCTTCGTGCAGAAGAAGTTGGTCTTTTAGCTTTTTATCCTTTCTTTGGACAGGCTGGCCATTATAAACAGAAGTTTTTAACAACGTGTGTCAAGAACATCCCCATCTCATTAATATCAAGCGCCAAGCGAAAAAAAAATAATGGAGCAACAACATCTACATGAGGATATAGAGATTGTGTAAAAGGACTTGAAAGCCATCATACTAGGCATTCACATTCAAAGCTACAAAGGACAAACATGGACACAGAACTAGTTGTTTTTTTCCCCACTTGGATTTTGAAAAGCATGAAAATGGGAACAAAAGGCAGAACTGAGTTCTTGTATACTGAAGAAATACTGACTCAAGGTTAAGACTGCAATGGAAAACCATTATAATCAGTTAAATGGGCATTTGTTTCACTCTCTAATGAACTAATAGAAAAATATGGGAGTTTGTAAAATTATATTAGTATATAGACGTGCACAAGATATGTGGTTGTGTGTACAGTTATACATTTCAATTTGGAATAATACTTCAAACAATAAAATAAAACATTTTGATAATTGTGTTTGTTATTTCTCCCTTAAAATCCAAACATACTGTCAAAATAAAAATCTAACTTACAGAAAACCATCATCTTATCACCTGAGCATGTTAAAAACAAGCCATTAAAAAGGCAACATGTAAGTGTACTCTCTCGTTGCCTCTTTGGTTGGAAAATGTGTGTGAGCATGCAGGTTTATGGAATGAGCTGAAGAGAAAGGAAAGCTGGAGAAGAAAATAAAAAAAGGAGAAGACATACATACTTAATGCTGTCTGTGTGTGTCTTGTACTCCATGATGGTGTTGGGGGGCAGGTTGAGGACTCTGCGCAGGGTGTCTCTGATGCGGGCGGTGGTCCCCTGGTCACTGGCTGTTTTGTTCCAGATGGAGATGATGTCCTCCTGGCGAGAAGCAGCATGAAGAGGAGGCATGTGTGAGCGTTAGGTCAGGCAGTTAGTGACCATGTGCAACCGAGTGTGTCTGCTTTTGGCAATACCTGGAAACGTACTGACACCACAGCCCCACAGATTTCCTCTCCTACCATGAACTGTTCTCCGAGCATAGCCAGGATCAGGTTCTCCCAGCATCGAGACGCCAGGCCTTTTCTCAGACGAATGATCCACTTCCCACCCATCTTATTAGCATCATCCTAAACATACACAATTTCAGATCAGTCCTTTCACGCATAACCAAACAACCAGAGCAAATAGAGGATATCAGCCAGTGTGTTTACCTCCCACATGGGTTTAATGCCTTCTTTGAAGAGGTGGAAGTCACTATGACCTGTCAGATCGCCAGGTCGGATCATGTGACTATAGAAACGCCAAAATTGCTCCACCTGGGATGGACAATTGTAATAATTAGTGGAAAACAAGTCAATATGTGGAGTGTGCAGCTCTGCATGGGCACATAAACAAAAGGAAAAGTGCACTGGCTCCTGTTTTAAGCCATATAAAGATGTGATGAGGAGCGACGGACCGAAGCAAAGCTGCCAATTTGTTTGATGTTCTGTTCGTAGCTCTGAGTGCTGGCTGGTCTCCCTGGGGTGCGTCTGGAGTACCAAAAGGTGTAATTGTACTGGAGAGGGTGTTCTCCTGCTCCTGGCACCACCATCTGCCGGAAATGAGAGAGTAACTTGTACAGCTCATTGACATATTAACTTTATACAGACTCAGAGCTATAATTTGTCATTTTGCCTCTGTACACCACCAAAGCGGATTTTAAATCTAATAATTAACATGTGATTAAAGTGCAGACTTTTTGCTTTAATTTAAGAGGTTCTTCAAAAATTATATTTACTGTTTAATTCATTTCCAGATGTTCAAAATTTTATAGTTTAACAAACAAGCCAAAACTAAAGAAACTGTACCTTTGTTCAACAAATAGTAGCACAATCTGCACATACATCTGTGTAAGACTTTAGCGGCCTCACTTTTTTCTTGGAAGTGTTCTGCTCCTTCTCTTCATCTTCGTTTTTTTCCTTCTCACCGTCTTTCGGTGAGCCTTGGTCCTGGTCGTGGTCTCCGCTGTCATCGTCTTTCAGACTACAATCGAGGGAAATGCAATCAATATTTGAAATCAAAAGGGACTTTACACCTGTTGTCAGGTAACAGCCCTTTTCATTTTAACTCCTTTTACAGAGTGTTTTAAATCAAATCTTTTGTCATTTTGTTACCCAGTCTGTTGGCGTTATACCGTCTTACAGCAACCAGTATCTAAATTATTCAGTTGTGCCCTCATCCTGGTCAACACATCAGAAATACAAGAAAAAAAATTAACACAAACTATATCCTCGACGAATAGAAGATTTGCAGTATGGCTGCTGTATTCATTTAGGGCAACTTAACCCAATAAACCTGCAACTGATGCATTTTAAAGTTGTGGCCTGCAAACATGCGCTCTGTGCTAATCTTAAACTACGGTCACTATTAATAAGAGCTCTCTGCGTGTAACAGTGTCTCTCCAGTTTCCTGCATTTATTGGCCACGCGAGTCTAATTTGTGACCGGCCTCTACGCGCCTCTCAGTTAACTACCACACCGAGGATTCGAGGCCTATCCGCCTTCCTCCAGGCCAAGCTAACAGCTAACAACACTGAAATTCTTCATCAAAAAGCACCATTTACTCACAGGTATTGCTCCCTTTCTTTTTAAAAGCGCGTGTAGGTGTTGCCCTCGCACTCCTGTTCTTTTATTAACTCACAGAATTCATGCAAAAACATATAATAAAGCTGACACACCTCTCACACACGCAAACCACGGTCAGCTTACGTTACCCTCCCCAGTGAGTTCACAGTAGCGACCGACGAGACCGCTCTCTGGATATTCAGCGAAATGTTTTAAATACTCACGCGTCAAATTTGTTGTTCATTATTTTGTAGATAGGAGTCTTTTCGGAGTCCGACCACAGCCTCCTGAATCCCGCAGCAAGTGACGGCGACGCGCACAGCAGCGGTTTAGTGGACGCGCATGCCATGTATCGATCTTAGCGATGAGCACGAAAAGGTCAAAGGTGAGCCACATCTTTACTATCAAGCATGTGCTCATTTATACTTAATTGAAATGTGCATTAAAATAAATAAGTAATTAAGAAATATGCATACATGAAGCAAAAGTCCCAATAATTTTATTTTATTCTCCACATTTCAGAACTTTAAGATATAATAAATGCACATTAGTACCACTGTGATCTGTTAATTGTAGTTTTTCAGAGTCTGATGACTCTGTTGAATAAACAGAAACCCTGTGTCTTCAGC